TCTAGGTCTGCTTGAGTCCGGGTTGTAATGTGTAGTTGGTCTATCATTGTGAGAGCAGCTTCCTCTTCACTATGTTGAAGTGTACGGTAACTAGTTGTTTCTTCGTGTGGATGTAGGTCTTCCATCCATCCATAGTTTCCTTATACGTTTCATATATCCCCTCTCATTAGGTCTACTGTTGTAGTAGCATTCCATTAATTCCAAGTTCTCTTGTCTTGTCCATGTATGGTTTGTTCCAGTAACCCACTTATTGTCAGATTGTCCTGGTTCCCCATCATCTGATGCAGACCTGTTAATCCGGGCAACATCTAAGCTGGCATGACTCTCTTAGTTTGTGTCACTCTCATATTTGAGGTAGGCAGATTAAGTGTTAGGGGGTCTTTGCCCAAGGACCCCTACTGGTAAGGTAGGTACCAGCCGGGATTTGAACCCCGGACTCCTGCATCAAAGGCAGTGCTCTAACCACTACGCTATCCAGCCACTTTTGTCTGACAAGACTCTCAGATTGGCTTTCCTATTATTCAGTAAGTCTTTCTTTCTTTCTTTCTTTCTTTCTTTCTTTCTTTCTTTCTTTCTTTCTTTTCTTTCTTTCTTTCTTTCTTTTTGACAGGGTCCCCCTTCCCTGTCAGGAAGAATATATATGTCCATTCTTACTGAATAATAGGAAAGCCAATCTGAGAGTCTTGTCAGACAGAGGTGAATAAGGTACCTTAAATAAATTAATCTCACTGGGTGTTCTAATCCATTTCTAATCTCCATTTGCTTCAGATTTTTTTTTTTGGACATATTCTTGTTTCTGATCTCTCTCAGGTGATTCCAGCTGAGGAATTAAAATGCCCCAAGTAAAAAGGTAGCCCTTGTCCTAAGTTAGCCCTACATTTCCAGGAGACATGTGGGTTGCAGGATGGCTACTACAACCCTGAAACTCAAAAGAACCACCTTCTACCAATCTTTCTTGCCTAGAAAGCCTGAAAAAAAAAGGGAGACTATTTTTGCATTAATTCTTTAAAAAATAATTGTGTAAGTGGTTTGAGCTGTTGCATGCCATGGGATTGGTCCGTCTACCTCCTCAAAGCAAGAAAAAGCTGAACTCCCAGATGTATTATTGAGAAATATGAATAAAACTGATAACCAACATATGGCCTTCAAATACAGTATCCCAATAAAGTTATCACAAAACATTTCATTTTAGAAGCTAAACAATTAATCCTTTTCCCTAAGTTCACAATGCTGCTGTATGTGATAACATCAGTTCTTTTCCTTCATGCAGTTGTATCTCATAGGGGTTTGCAATTTTTAAAGGTTTTTTTTTAAAAAAACAAAAAAAGTTTAAAATAAGGCCTATAGGAAGGACTTTCTGAAAAAGCTTTGGCAAGCACCATGGGGAAATGCTTGCCTTGTCCAGCATGCCCTTGCCAAAGCTGGAAGACACAATACCTAGACAGAAGCTCCTTATGGTTTGGGCAGGTACATCTGCTTTAGTAAAGAGAACCTTGCTGCCACCACAGTGCATATTTTTTTCTCAAGACAAATCGAAGACACCTTGCATTGGCCAAGTATCTGTACCAAAAGCATAATCAGTCAGGACTTGCTAGTACATTTTTTTTTTAGTACTGTATGTCTGTACAGAATAAAAAGTTACTCAGAAATACTTAGTTGATTAAAATGTTCTATAAAGGTGAAAATTTGCAAAACTTTCTTTCAGAATTGTAATTTCCTTTCCAATGTTGCTAAAAGACTGTAGGGCTGTGCAGAGATCTCAATCTGAAGAGGGCGAGGGTGGACACCCACATAGCCCCTGTCAGTGGCCCTTAATTCATATATGCCTATGCTGGGTCTTAATTGCATTTGCCCTTCCAATCTGGATCTCTGCACTGTCCTCATATGCTTTTATCAACAGTGTTTCTTTGTCATTTCCTTCAGCTGCTGTGAGCAAAGAAATGTATCAGGCTTCACACTTTGATGTTAACAAGAGTAAATATCATTGAATTATTTTTGTTTGTCATCACAGAGTAGTCACGATAAATATGCACTTGCATTTGGATAACTAACATGGCCTATTTTAAACCCAATTCAGTTGAGTTTTTTTCCCTGTGCAAGTTAATTATTTTTAAAAATCAAGAGTTACTGTTTTCATGTTTTTTATTAAGCAAATGTCTTCCCTAAAAGTGCTTATGTATTTTTATATTCAGTAGGCTACACACGATTGACATTATTTGAGGCAAAGTGTGGGCTGGTGCTACACTATACCCACACATAAATTAGTGGTGTGCACGCTGTACTATAGCATACTTTGAATGCTTGCCTAAATACACTTTTAGAACTACTAGACAAACCGGAGGATTAAAAATAACTTTGTGCTAAAATGCAAGTCTTATATTAAGGATATTTTTGTTATGCAATCAGAACCTGCACAAGGAGGGGACAGCTTTCAACAGACTAACGGGTGCATCCAGTTTTGAGAAGCATGTGTTGGGGCCACGCTCCCAAATTGGGAAAGGGCTGTGTTAAAAATGGATGGGCCCAATCAAATTAAATAAAAAGTAAAATTTAGACTCACCCATAAAGATATACTCCCCCCATAGAAACACACTCCCCCCAATATATATATATATATATGCTTATACGCTGGCTCAAAGGGTGATGGGACAGATCAGGGAGTAAAGAAATAGGCCAGGGTGTGAAGGAAGTGAAGAAGAGCAAGGTAGTGAATAAGGGATGGGGCAAACAAAGGTCCAGGGCACAAAGTATGGCAGGGAGAGAACAGCAAAACACAACAGAGAATGAGAAGAGGAGGAGGTGGCGGCGGTGGCGACAGCAGCAACTGGGTGTGAAAGAAGGCAGCAGTGAGCAGAAGGATCAGGTGGTGGGTGTATGGGAGATGGGGGATGCAAGGGAGTATCACAAGCTGCCCTGGAGAGTCTTTCAGGTCCCAGTTTTTGCACTTCAGTTCTATCCTATTAATTCTCCTCCTGTAGGTTTACAAAAGCAACCAAGCTCCTGACTACACTAATGCAAGCAGCAGGAGCAAGATGGCAGGAGAGACCAAATTATTGGGGGACAGTGCATTCTTTCCTTTTTTGATACTATTCCTCTGCAAATGCCTCACTAAACTGTTTTCATTTTTTTTCCCCAGCCAAGCTCTAAAAGTGAAGGTAAATCCAGCTGGTGAAGAAAAAGGGCTTCTTGCCATAAGGTGCTCCCTCCCCACACGCCTCATATTCATGCAATTGTGCCAAAGAGCTCACGCAGCAAGTCCTGGATACTTATGCACTCTACACCCCATTACTTTTGACCCTTGAGCAGTTTCTCTGCAGTGCCTGGAGATGCAAAGAAGAGAATCTTCACCTTCTTCATCAAAAGAGGTACTATCACAAACGTACAGCCTTCCCAACATAAAACCAGCCTCCAAATGAATTCCCATCAGACAAATTAACTCAATAAATGGATTTGGACATAAAGCCTTTCTCTTTAAAAACCTACAGGCACACCATGCTGTGTGCTGTTCTGAGAGCTATTAACGTAAGTGTAGCAAAAGAAAGCCACTGATTTTGGATAAGAATTGTATTTGGAATTATGGCACGGCTATGGAATTCTGACTCCTTCAGGAGCTGCATTTCAGCCTCCTTTTTCTTGATGCATAAAGGTGCATCTCTTTTGCCAGGCTTTTCATTGTTAATCAATTTTAGTATTAATTTTAGCATTGCTTTTAATTTTTGTTTTTAATTTTTTTAGCTTTTAAAAAAATTAGCTTTTTTAACTTTTAAATTCTTTTAATCTCCTTGAATACTTACCAGAATAGAGTACATAAACAAAGAAATAAACAAAGAAATAAACTTACCAGCTCCACTTAGGACATCAGGTTTCTTTTGCATGATTTCACAAAACTGCTTTTGGACATTTTCAATCCATCCCACCTGTTTATCTGGATTCTTTAATGCAGATAAAAGTTTGCTAACATCGTCATCTGAAAAGAAGATGAAAATATCATTCCAACAGCTGAAAAAACATTTTTCTTTCTTTCGGAAGTGGCAAAAAGGTTTCTTGCTAGGACTACTCTGCTTTCATAAAATTCAGAGAAAAGGGATTCTAGACTATTTACATAAGTACTTTATCTCTGCCACCAGGTCTAACTTGCAACTGGGCTCTTTCATGGGAATAAACAAAAGTATCACCTACAAATCTAGCCATTATCTTTTTGAAATTACAGCAACTGGGAAAGTGTAGCTATAACTACTGAAGTTTCTTTCACCAAGGTCTCTCCGCCAAACTGAGAACAAGGATAAGTTTCAAAAATGGAAAGAAGGGCATATAATAAAGGCAGAATATTATGAAGTAGCCCAAATCTGCAAGGACGGGTTAGGAAAACTAAGGCTTAGCATGATTTAAGGCTTGCTAAGAAGGCCAAAAATAACAGAAAAGGGTTCTTTGGGTATGTGCAGAACAAGAAAGTTAAGGAAAGCATTAGCCCACTGTTTGGAGAAGATAGGAAGATGGTGACAGGCAATAGGGAGAAGGCTGAACTGCCTAATTCCCACCTTGCATCTGTCTTTTCACAAAAGGAAAACGTTGTCCGATTTGTCAGAAACTGCGCCGTGGGGAGTGGAAGAGAAATGCAGATCAAAATAGGTAAGGAATTAGTGAGAGAATAGTTGCTTTGAATGAACTCAAGTCTCCTGAACTGGATGGATTACATCACAGGCTGTTAAAGGGACTGGTGGATGTCATCCCAGAGCAACTGACTGAAATCTTTGAGAAACCGTACAGCAGAGGGAAGGTGCTAGAAGACCGGAAAAGAGTCGATGTTATTCTAATATTTAAAAAAGGAGAAAAAGTGGACACAGGAAACTACACACCTATCAACTTGACATCAATATCTGAGAAAATCTAATCAACGGGGGGCTTGCAAGCACTTAGAAACTAACAGGGTGATTACCAGAAGATAACACGGATTTGTTAAAAACAGTTCATACCACACAAATCTCATTGCATTATTTGACAACGTGACATTAGTGGAACAAGGGAATGCTGTGATGTAGTGTACTTAGACTTTAGTAAAGTATTTGATAAAGTAAACCTTAGCCTCCTTCTTGATAAAGAGTAACAATGGAGGCTAAATGATTCCACTACCAGATGGATTCACAGTTGGCTAAACAACCATAGCCAACAGATGGGTCCTTAATGGGTTGATGTCCACATGGAGGGAAACATGCAGTGGGGTACTTCAGGGTTCTGTCCTTGGCCCAGTACCCTTCAACATCTTCATAAATGACTCTAGTATGACTAGTGGAATATCTCCTATTGAAGGCATCAAAGCCAGTGCATTTGATGTGGAAGAAAAAAACACTCACTTATAACATGAAGTTCAAGAAAAAGGGGTCTACTCTAGCAGTTGGAATTTGATTTTTCACCTACTGTACATGTAGATGAAAAAGCACTTATGTTCTGTACAAATATTTACTCCAAGACCTTGATGTAATTGTCTCTGCTACAATAATTAGTCACTGTGAAATCACTAACTGACTAAAGAATAAAATAATTCCTCACATAAATGAGCATTGATTCTATGACAAATGTATGCTGAATTTACTCAGGGGATCATAAATGGGGTTTCAGGATTGCAAAGTTAGTCATTTGTCCACTGCAATTATTCAGAAAGACATACTAGCCTTCCTAGGTAATGTATATTCACAATTAGGATTATTCAAGTAGTTGCAGTATGGAGTGTCCTTATCTGTCAAACTTCACACAGGCACAGCAATGCATCTCTGCTCTCCAGAAATTAAACCTGCATTCATAACAGCAGAAGCTTCCCTCACTGAATGCAACTGGATAAGATGCTTTATTGCAAAGAAGAAAATTCATATACCTACCTACCTACCTACCTAGAGATTGACTGCAGAACACAGCAATCAGGTTGTGTCTATCAATCATACAGGCTCTAAATACTAACGCTTTGTCTTCCCCTCTTTCAAATCAGTGGATTTATGGTCATCCTTTCCCCAGCTCTGAGACTGAGAGGCACTTGCTCAGTGTTTACACAATACTTCTGTTCAGCCCGAATACTCACCAGCTTCAGCCCTTGCATTTTTCATGCACATGTGCACATTTCTAATAATACTCCGCTCAGGTTCTCCCCCCCCATTTCTTTTTCCATCCCAGAATACATTTAGCATTCTGTGGTTATTGAGAATGTTTAGTCCTCATTTAATTTGGGCTACTTTTGAAATGTATTCCCTCCCAAGACTGATTCTACTTCTACAAAGCTTAAGGTTCCTCTAAGCATATACATGGGATTATCTTGGGCCTTGTTTTAGCTGCAGTCCTCTTGGCAGCTATCTGCTGAGTTGATAATTAGAGGGACTGATGAAAGAACATAACCTCATATTGCATTTCATTGGTAGGTGCCATAATCCCCTATGTGAGTCATTAACAGCTAGATATCTGTTGGTCTTTGCAATCTCTAGTCTGCCAAAATATTTACATTTACATTTCATATTTGCTTCCAAATATCAAGCAAATAAAATACTATCCATATCGTTATGAAACTGATAAACATTAAAGGGAAAAGCATGGCATGCCAACACAGCATGCTGCTAATTTATGCAGATCTGGAAGGAGAAGACTTCTGGATATATTTGAATGAGCAAAATGTAGCAGGAGAGGGATCCTGGGGTTTGTTTTTGCATTTTATACTATCTGAGATGGTTTATTTACACACACACAACCCTCTCCCCCAATGTACGTAATATTAAACTTATAAATTAACTTATTTTAAAAGTATTTCCTTTGAGATTCCTGGAATTAAAAGTCTGTTTAGCAAGCTATTGTTTAGAAATAATTCTATATTGGGTCCCAAGTGATCAGGACTTTTTTTTCTCTTATTCGCCTATCCTGACTTAAGATTTGTGCTATACTTTTACTTATTTCTAGATTTCAAATAATCTAAATTAATAATTTTTTAGTCAAACTTTGTAATACTCGTTACCTTTTCCTCATATCAGCTTGGTAATACCCCATTTCAAATTGATCTTTCCAAATAAAATAATCACTTGCAAATGAGGATAACCCTCTTTATTAAACAGAAAATGTTTGTTTTTTTAGATTATTTTTTATCCCGCCTTTATTATTTTTATAAATAACTCAAGGTGATGAATATACCGAATCCTCCTTCCTCCTCCTATTTTCCCCACAACAACAACCCTGTGAGGTGAGTTGGGCTGAGAGAGAGTGACTGGCCCAAAGTCACCCAGCCGGCTTTCATGGCTAAGGCAGGACTAGAACTCACAGTCTCTTGGATTCTAGCCTGATACCTTAACCACTAGACCAAACTGGCTCTTTTGTGTGTTTCATGGCATACCGTATATACTCATGGATAAGCTGAGAATTTTATGTGCCAAAATACACCCCAAAAATTGGGTTTGGCTTATCTGTGGATTGGCTTATCCATGACTATATATGGTAATACAGTGGTACCTCTACTTACGAACTTAATCCGTTCCGTGACTCTGATCGCAAGACGAGTTGGTCGCAAGTCGAAG